GAGGCAATTTTAAATGTCAGCAATATTAATGGAAAAAATGCCATAATGCTTATATCTCCTTGGGATATTGAGAGCATAGAATGCTGTTGGAAGGGGAAATGATTTTAAGCAGAGATAATCTGTGAATAAGTAAATCAAGAAAGGAAAAAAATCACTCTCTCCAAATTCATTCAGTGGCAGTTGAAATAAACATAGGTTAAGTGTAAAGATCCATAAATGTTCTGGGTGTTGCCGTAGTTGGTGTACATATTCAGCTCTTCATACATCTTTGGAGCATCAACAGGAGACACTTGAAAAAAATAGCAGGAATGGAAAAAGGTTCACCACTGGTGATGCTCCAACAGAGATATGAAAGCTGTCAGGGACTACTGCCCAAAAGATTTGCACTGAAAACTTTAAAATTAATCCTACAATTTAACCCTAACATCACTTGTATTTAGTACTAATATTGATGATAAAAAACTGGGCCCGAACTAATTTTTTTTTAAAAAGAGCTGTATGGTCAGTGGTGCAATCTGAATCATAGATTCATAGAATGGTCGGGCTGGAAAGGACCTTAAGGGTCATCTTGTTCCAACTCCCTGCTATGAGCAGACACACTTCCCACCAGACCAGTTTACTCAGAGCCTCTTCCAGTCTGATTTGAATGTTTTTAGGGCTGGGGCATCCATAGCTTCTCTGGGCAGCCTGCTCCTGTGAAGAATTTCTTACTAATAACTAATCTAAAGCTATTGTCTTTCAGTTTAAAGCCATTACTCCCTGTTCTTTCCCTTTCTGAAGGTGGAATGTCTGCTAACATTAGGAGTGCCAGATCTTGATGCTTAGGGACAGCCTCCTTCTTCTCAGCTGTGAGAATGCCTTGCTAGATTTCCCACCGTTGTGTGCAGACTGGCATGTGGGCAGACTATGTATTTTGAAGTGCTGAACATGGCTTATATAGACCAGTGCTGAGCTCTGTGACTTGTATTTTTCTTTCCTTTATTCCCAGAAGCTGCACAAGACCTTCCTGTAAATGTCATTAGAAGAACTGTGTCAGGGATCAAAAACAACAGTCAAACAAATAGCTAAAGAACATGGGCAGAAAGCTAGCAATATGGTTAAAATATTAGAGACAAGGAAGGGAAATCAGTCTCCAGTAAATTGAATCAACTTTTCGTAACAGTGCAACTTATAATCTTCACAGTACTTCCATAAACGTCCTCCTGCTTCAGAAAAACATTTTGAAGCTTGAACTATCCTAATTAATGGATTAATGGCTGAATCCATATTGACCAAAAAATTCAATAGCTGGTTAAAAATACTCAAAACTACATTAAGGCAATGAAGCATTTTTCAGAGCTAAGCTGCAATTGGATTTGTGAGATGCTATGTTTCATCACATTAGAGGAGCCCTATGTGGCCGGAGCATAATTATCTGTATAAAATTCAAGAAGAAATGTACTCATTATTGTGTACTTGTGAGTGAAGATAGGATTTATAATACTGTTTATAGCTATGTTTGCCTGAAGATCATATGACACAGTTTAAATACTTTCAAAATTTCAAAGCTTTCAATGTTCGAATGCATTTCTTGTCTCATGCTGAAAATCAGTTAGAAGATTTCAGGTGAAAACAACCATGGACAAGAAGAGTTAAAGAGTATATGTTTGTCTTGAAAATGTGAAACTTGCTTACAGCAGCTTGGGAGAAGTCATCTGAGATACTGTTTATCATGCTAAGACCTGAATTTCATTAGTGGGATGCCAATGTTCCATTGCTATTGTGGAGAAAAAAACCAAGCAAAACACAACATTTGAGGCTATACTTAAAAATTGTGTTATAGATCTGAAACATAGCTCTGATTAAAAAAATTAAACACAAATCTATAATGATTCAGGCTGAAGAAACATTGTGAAAGAACAAGGCAAAATAACATGCAAATGGAGTTTAAAATGTGGTTCCAGGCTGAGATCATAATCATGCTCAGTCTTTGAGCCTAAGGCCATCTTTAAACAAATATCATCTCCATAAATATCTGGTATGTATTTCAAAATATTACCATCTTTGCTGTATTCTGAATGATGGGAAAAGGAAGGGTGTTTCAAACAGAGGAGTTAACTAAAAAATTAAGTATATTTCTAAATATAGATACATATATATAATAACCTAAATATCAGAAGCAACATAGTAACTTCTTACTTTTTCAAGAAATAAGCAAAACCAACCCAAAAATTTTTATTTGATCTAAAGCACTGGAGAAATTTGGGGTTTTGGGTCACAGGCTGCAAAAGTGTTAGAAAGTATTTAAAAAAAAAATACACAGTGCTTAGCTTTGAATGGCACATTTGTTTTATAAGTTTAGACTACTTAAAGTAATGACATATATATATATATATGTATATGAAATATAGTTCTGAGGGGACTGATAGCTGCCTTTCTCAGAAAATGTTCTTGCTTTTTGACATGTATAGTTCCTTTTTGACATACATGCTGGAAATAAAGAAGACATTCTTGATCTCCTGGGGTTTCAGTTTGAAATACCAAATAATTTTTTTATTGTTACTGTTGTCCTATTTTATTTTAGCTTTCAAAACACTGAAGCAATATGGCACAAAGAAATATTTTCAGATATCCTTGCTTATAAGGCTAATAAATGTTTATCTGTATATTCAGAAGTATTGTTCTCACCTGTACAGGCGTTAAATCCATGTTATTGTTAAGTGTTGAGATTTCTGTTTGAATATAGCTTGAGGTTCTGCTGTGATCTGCCAAATTCTGTTTCAACTTTAACAAATGAAAATAGCTCAAGTAATTCAATGAGCAGAATGACTCACAGTGTTGTAAAACTGCTTATGATGACCTGATCTGAATTAATTTTAGAATAACCCCACTCTGCCTGTTGCAGCATAGCCATTTACTGTCTTGTCAGCCCAGAGAGATTTTATCCTGAGGACAATTAGTGTTTCTGCAACCGAACAGGTGAAGATACTTTGACCCTTTTCTTTGTAAGCAAATCTACTTGCTGGTTGGATAAAAAGGAGGCAGGTTGTACAGATTTGGTAATGATACAATTTTCATGTAAGGAACGTTATGCTGGCTTTTGTGGAAAAATAATCAGGAGGCCTGTCAGTATGATACTTGAAACCACTCAGTGAATGCCTTGTAAAAACACAGCACAAGCCACATGAAGGCTTGTGTACACTCCTCCCAGACTACAAGCTTCCATGTACTTCCAAGATTAGTTGCTGAAAGGAATATGTCTATACAAACAACAAATTTCTGGTCCTTTTTTTTTAATAGGAAAATGTGATCACTGGATAAAATAACAGTCATTTAAAGGTACAAGAGTAGTTCAGTATATTTAGTAAAGTAAAACGACACTGTTGTAGTCTTCCTATATCAGCTGGTTTTATGAAAAGTCACCACTTTAACTGAAAATCTGTCTGAAGAGCTGCTTATTGTATGTTTCAAGTATTAGGTGGAAATAAAAAGAGTCAAACACAAGGCAGATAAGTATATTGAAAGATATTTAATCCTTTTTCACTGTCGAACACAATTATTTTTTATTCTTTTGATTCCTGCTCATTGAGCAAACTCATTATTTACAAGAAACAAATCTTTTGAGAAGTTTTCATTTTAGCAAATTCTTTATTTGATCTAAAGATGTCAACTCAAATATTTGGACACATAAGCTTCCTCCAGACCTTGATCCATTTGAGCTTTGCTACTTCATGCTTTTTCTTTCAGGTAGTTAAAAGCTGATTATTTGGATTCACTTAGAAGGATCAAAATCAGTTACTTATCTATAATTATCTATCTTAAAACTTTTTGGTTTATTCTTTTTTCTATTACTATCTTTGGCTTTTTCTGGTCCGAAAATGTCACTTAATTGGCAGGACTCCTCAGAAATAACCACCAGCAGTTCAGAGGATATTTTGGCTATTTTCTCAAATATTGTAGATTGAACTCCCAAGGCCCTGATGATTTTATCTCAGTATTTTTAATTTTCCTCACATTCTGTTCAACACAAGTTGTACTGTCAAATGCCTCGTTGCAAACTTTATTGGGGAAGTTGAATACAGGAGGCCAAATCCTCCATTGTGAGAAGTGTCCCTTTAAATGAAACCGAAAGTACACTGCACAAAGGTATGGCTCACGCTACACAAGAATGTTTCTTTTACTTCTTTGTTTCATGAAACGCAAAAGATTTGTTCTGAAATCACAGAAACATCCAAACATACGGTGATGTGACTACTAGTACAGCATGGTGTGATAAGAAAACGTTTTCTTTAATTTAAAAAAGACGAGACCGGCAGACGAGCAGAGGGTTTGTTCCCCCGTGCCTGGCGGGTCCTGCCGGGCCGGGCTCTGCACTCAGTACCCACCGCTGCCGCACAGAGCCAGTGACGAGGCCCGCATTTCCCGCAGCGCTTTCTGTACATGCATGAGGAAACCCCACTGAACCTTCCCTCCACAAAGTTACTGTGGGTCGGGGATGATGTCCGCTGGACAGGGAGCCGCCTCACATTCCCACCTTCACTGAGGATCTGGGTGTTTCCCGACCCCACGGAGACCGCAGCGCCGGGGCGCTCACACTCCGCCACGCCGGCCTCCCACAATCCCGTACGGAAACAGGTGGGCAGGAGGGCAGGGCCAACCTCTCCTGCCAAGTCCTCGTGTGCATTGCCGCACTATCTGTATGCGAGCCGCTGCTCCCCCTGCGCCTCGCCGATAACTTTTTTTGCCAGGCTTCGCGCCCGCCGCCACCGAGCGACCATCGAGGGTGGTGGTGGGCTCAGAGTGGCAAACCTTCTGCCCAGATGGGCCAGGGTGGCGGCTTCGTCTTGCCTTTATCTTCAACCTCACGGCTGCAGCACCATCCTCCCTCGGGCGCGCCACGCTGAGCGGAGGGCGGTGCGGCGGAGCCCTGCGCTCGTTCCGGCAGCGGGCGCCGCTCCGTTTCGGTCCGCCCCGCACCGGAGAGAGGGCGGCAGGCTCCGGCGGGCTCTGCTGCTCCTGCTGCTGCCGCCACCGCCGCCCCCGTCGCAGGAGGAGAAGGATGGAGTCGGGCAAAGAGCCCCGAGTGACCACGGAGGAGAAGCCCAGCGAAGCAGAGCCGGCAGTTTCCTTCCAGGCCCGGCTGTGGAAGAACCTGCAGCTGGGGGGCAAGGGCCGGAGCGGAGGCGGGCGGGCAGCAGCCGAGCGCCGCACTGCGGAGCCCCTCGCTCCGCCGCCGCCGGCCGGCAGCAAAGGGGACCTCCAGCCCGGTGGCAAGTGGAGCGGCTTCAAGCGACGGCGGCAAGTGCTAGACCGCGTCTTTTCGTCCTCCCAGCCCAACCTATGCTGCTCTGCAGCCGAGCCGCTGGAGCCGGCCGGCGAGTCCGGCTCCGCCCTGCGCCGCCTGCGGGAGCACCTGCTTCCCCAAGGCAAGGGCCCGCCGCCCGGCCGCCGCCCGGAGCCCGCCGCCGGCTGTGAGGGGCCGGCGGGTGGCAGGGAGGGGCGCCGGCCCGGGGCGCACCTGTCCCACCAGAAGAGCTCCTCGCTGCCCAGCACCGCCTGCCTGGAGCAGCTGCTGCAGGGCTCGCCCGCCGCCGGCAGCATCCAGGACCAGCGGACGGAGGACGGCGACAGCAGCGCGGTGAGGGCCGGCCCGCGTCGCCTCTCTGCCTACAGGGCCGGGTGGGGAGGTTGAGCGGGAGGGCTGGTGATCCCAGGACAGAGGAAAGGAGGTGGGAAGGGAACTGAGATAAGGAGAGGTGGGAGGGCGACCGCTGGGGAAGGGAGCTGAGGTGAGGCGGAGGACGGCTGAGTCTCAGCGCTCCTCTCGCTCGCTGTTGAAGAGTGCCCTTCGCCTAAGGGGGGAACGGCTCGGGTCCCGCCCGCATCCCGCCAGCCCTGCATTCCCCCAGCACGCCGTGACAGGCGGTGTCGCGGGCCTGAGCCGTGGGAGCACCGCTGCCAGCCTGCTCCTGCTCCGCTGCAGGAGCGACCTCCCTCAGACCTTCATTGCATAAACCATGCAGAGGAAGGGTGTCTCGGAGGCTGGAGTTAGGCTTCTCTCGCTCTTACACCTCGCAGCTCTGTGAGGGCCGTCTCTGCTGGTGTCTGCTCTTAACGCATGCAGCACGGCTCTTCCTCAGGTGACCTCGGCTTTTTTCCTTGTTTGGTTATCCAAATTTGAATTACTGTGTCTTTTGATTTCTGCAAGACACACAAACGACAACCACTAGTACATATTTACTAGATTGTAGGTAATTATTGGCTGGGTACTGTCTCATGCAGCTGTCAGTTCAGTCTATGAGACTCGTTCTGGCTGTTGGGAGAAGGCAGTAAACAAAGCCATAACTCTTCCAACAGTCAGTTTTTAAATTGCATGGTGAAGCTACTGTTGAAAGGGACTGTTGAATCTTGGAGTAAATTTACTGCAAGAAAAGTGCAAAACATATGAGTATTTTCTTGTGTAATTCTAAGCAGTCATCCACCTTTCTCAGGAATAACTGACTAATGCATATTATTATAAATTGTCTTAGGTCATAATTAGGGAGAAATGAGTAGCTGAAGTAAAAGACATGCTCTGTGTGTTGTCAGAAATAGGCTGTATAAATGCATTTGGCTGCTGCCAGAGCAGTACCTCTGCTAATGAAGGATGACAGTACTTCTGCAGCTATTTGCAAGTGTACCTTGAGGTCAGTGGTACTTTAATGTCCCTCTGCAGAATTCAAAGCGGTTCATCTTCACAAATATGGGACCTAGACTTAACTTTATGTCATGGGGTTGCTTTGCTTGTAATCACTGGCCTGACTGGAAACTACTGTGGTTATCTTTTGTATAATACTTGTAAATGGTTTAGATCATTGCTTATTGAGGTGGGATTATTGTGACAGGTGTCTATAAAGTGAGCATTTCCCTGCAGTAGTGAATCCCTTCTTTCCCAAACCGCTGGCTCACAAGAATATATTGTATATTTTGAATATTTAAGTGCTATTGTTTAAGACAACAGGACATTATTCTGCTTTAAAGACTGCTGCATCTAGCAATATGAACATGTGTGACTTTCTTCAGTGTTGTTCTGCTGTTATGTTTAGTAAAGAATTGTAAATGTTTGTTTACAAAACATGTCAAATGCTTTTTAGTTGTGAGGGCATTACTCTTGTTTAGAACAAGGTACAGTCATATCATTTGGAAAGAATACTGCTAAATCAAATCACTTTAGGCTTTCTAACACTTATTTTAAATTAGCAGGATTATGACCAATTCCTCCAAGTGTTTTCTAGTATTAATTTGGGCTGTGCCTGGACACCAGACTTGGTGGTTTTGATAATAAAAGAGTTTGCTTGTGTGTTGATGAAGTTTGCAGAGCTGCTGATTGTGCTTATTTCAGAGGGATGATCTGAAACAGAATAGCTTTTCTGCTATTTTATAATAAGCACATTCACTGCTTTTCTCAACTCTAAAGTATAATCTTAGTTGGGTTATTAAATCGAGTTTAATTCACCACTTTCATTAAGTTATAGGATATTTGGGGAAGTAAGACTCCAACTATAAAGCATTTTTGATTATCTTCAAGTATGCCTGGTACGCTTCAGTGATGTGTTAACAGAGCAAGGACCTTCCACTGTGAGCAGCTGGAGTTTCCATTTCAGTGTACCTCAGGAGTCAAGTTTTGCATACTTACAGGCTGCACCCCAGGGCCTAACCTCAGTCACGGCCTTTACACCCTTCTGAGGATTTGGGATTACACATCTGGTAGCATGAGTTTGGAATAATTTGCATTTTTCAAATCCATGTTTTACTTACAGCACGTGCTGCTTTTAACAACTGCAGGGAACCAACCTCCAAGCAAGCTGTTTGTTCCCTTTCCACCTGTGCCTTCTGACAGTAAGAGATCATGAGTTAAAATAACAATTTACTAAAATCACAATAACCACAGCAATATCAGTAGTGAGAAAGTATATAAAAAGAGGGTGTCCCACCACGAAAGGACATTTATCACTGGGAACAAAAGAAAAAGTGCTTCCCAGACAGTGCCTGGTATGTACTCAGATAAAGGCAATATGGCCATGAGAGCTCTGGTGACTTAATGTTCTCATCCCTCCAGCCCAGTCTAAACTCCTCTGAATCTTGCACCATGCTGCCACCTCAGACCGCTCCAATATGTCCTGCACAGCCTTCTCTGGCCCTGTCACCACTCACTCCGCTCTGCTGGGGCTTGGGCTCTGAATGGCTCAGCTGAGCTTGTGCCCCTTCTCTCTCTCTTTTCTAATATTTCCTGGAGCTGTTGTCTTGGACTCGCATTGCTGTCCTTCAGCACCACATCCTAAAGCCAAAGCTCAGAGGAAGGGAAAAGGGACCGATGATGGTGAAGAGGGGCTGAATCCACTTGGCTTATCCCAATACCTTCTCCCTGGAGAGAGCCAGACAAGATGGTGCAGTTCCCTTCCTGCTCCTTGGCTTTTCCTGCTGGGACCACACTGATGATGTGTGTGGTAAAGAATAAACAGCATTAAAAGCTCCATTCCATTTTTTATGTAGCCAGGACACAGCAGCGCAGACATACAGCAGTGTCTGGATTTTCATTGTCTTTCATTGTGGCCTTACATGCCCAAAGATTAAAAAAAAGTATATCAGAATCATTAAAATTAGATTAAATTACCTAAAAGTAAATCAACATAAAATTGCAACTTCTTTTAAAACATCTGTAAAATTTTATTGAAATAGAGAGCAAGCTACTGCCTCATTTGGTGAAGACTGTTGAATTTTTTAGCAAATCTGCACACAAAAGGATCTACTGCATAAGGGAGATGGTGGAGGGAAATAAAATCCCACAATGAGTCAAATTTTTTTGTGCTTTTAAGCTGAAATAATGCAGTTGTCATCAGTGAGAGGGAACATGAGTTAGTGGGTGGGAAGACTTACAATCTAAAATGTTATCATGAAATGTACATATATTTAGCATAATCAAGCAATTTAAATTTAATTTTAACTTACACTATTGCATTGGGCAGGGGCAGTCTAGCAGAGACCTAGTTTTTCCGTATTGAATAAAGTTTCTGTTGCATTGAATAGGATTAGTATCTTGGTTTGAGCAGAATGGCACAAACAGAAGTGTAGTCTTATGCAAACAATACCTATTATATTTGAGTGCTAAATACTAACCTAGTTTTTTCTGATAACTGAATACTTCTTGCAGCTGTCTATGAATATTTTTGGAAAGGGCATTTCAAGTATTTATTGGCAGGAAACTTAGGTTTCTTTTACACATGAACTGAAATGTAAATGTGAGTTTTCAGGACAAAGAAATGAACACGTGCAATTGTACACAATCCTTCTTCCAGTTTCCAAAGACTATGAGACAGGTTTCCTTGGCCAATTCATAACTTGCCACATGGCCAGTCACTGACTTGTAGCTGAGAGCCGTGTGCGTGCTGCATCCTTGAAGGACTTAGATGATGGTGATGGAAGACTCCTGGGGTGTCTCCTGGATAGGAGATGATAACAACACTCCAGGAGCCTCACAATGCTTCCAGTGTCTGAGTGTGCTGCCATGGCCCAAGGCAGTGAGGCAAGGGTTTTTCTACTTGTCCCCTTTAATTTCCCTTTCTGTGCCAGTTGGAGCATAAATTTATCTGACAGTGCCTGTGCCAGCATGGCCTTTTTCTTTAATATGAGACACAGCTTTGCATGAAAAGTTTTATGTCACTTGTATTTTGTCACTTTGTAATTTAGTAAAAACCGGGAGGGTGAAAATATCCCCGTTTCTTAAGATTTGCAGTAATAGAGACCCTACAAGTGTTTCACTGTCTTAATCAAAGAACATGGATCTGGTCACATGTCATATTGAATCAGAAGTGGACATGAAGAAGGTTTAGGGAGAGGGTTCTTGGTTGAAGGGATGTCCAGGCTGCAGTCTGACTGTTGCAGTGAGAGCTCTTGTGGGCACTTCTCTCCAGTGTGTTTTCTTCAAAGATAACAACAAATCTGATAACAACAAATTTTGTAATTTCGTGACTTCTTAAAATGTGTCCAGGTTGATCCATTACACCAAAAGAGTGGACAGGTTCTTAACCCCTTCCATCAATGTTTCCAGTTCTGTGAGTGGCTATGTGAATAACTTGGAGGTGTGGAAGAGCACTGGGGTTATTGCAGAGGGAAGATGGGGCTGGCTAGGGCTGCTGCTCAACCTCTAATTTCTTAGCCATAGGAAAGGAAGTCATTTATTTTGTGACACATGGAGCTATTTGTTTCATTAATAAGCAGGGATTGGGAAACAGTGGCCTAGAATATATATACAGACTGATGAGAGATGAGATGAGATGAGATGAGATGAGATGAGATGAGATGAGATGAGATGAAGTGAAAACCTGGAGATGCATCCAGATACTCTGAATGGGCTCTTTCCCATTCTTACAAATAAAGATAACTATTAGTCAATAAAGTTGATGTAAGAGGGTGAGCTGTGCGGCACAGGAGGAGAACCTGCAGAAGGAAGAGGAGTTTAGTGAGCTGGGTTGTAGGAGGAGATGTTGCTTTCTCAGGGCAAAGAGCATTGGCTTGTACTGGGATGCCGGGAAAGAGAAAGGAAATCTTAGTAGAAAGGAGTACAGATTGAGCTGGGAAAAAGCCTGAAGAGAAGAGAGG